TTTGTGTTGGCCAATACTAATGAGCTGTAGAACGAATGTCCAACTATAATCACCTTCTGTATTTTTTGCTGCTTCTATATTACTTTACAAAGCAAAGTTAAACATGAGAATGCTTTTTTTTTTAAACGATCCTTGCCTTTACCATATAAAGAAATCATGTGGCGCTGGTTTGAAAAAAAAGACCGTCAGGTTTTAAGAAAGTAACAACACGCAAAGAGATAACTTAAATGACCATATCACACTGATTATGGGCTACATGTATATATTTATTTAAAATGCGTCATGTCAATACAACAAAACTTCATGTGCATAAATCTTAAAAATTACAGACTGAATTCAACAGTAATCGACTATTACACTCGGAATAAAAACACCCTAAAAACTGCTATTGGTCTTTCTTTTTAACAGTCCTACCCCTAAACGAAGTCTTTCAACGTAAAAGCCTTCTTAAATACAAACACGCTTCTTCGTCGAAACAAGTGTAATGTATATGAAAAAAACCAAATGCATCTTAGTTTAGCTAAAATAGTTACTTGTACAGTGCTAATAGCTGTGTATCTCCTTCCCAACTTCAGCACATCATAGCCCAACCATCTCCGGTGAGGGTGATATTTCTTACAGAGACATCATTAGGGCGACTGTATATTGTCATCAACAGCAGGCACTTATTAATTTAATGCATCACACAATTTATCAAAGGGAACATAAATTATAAAGTCTGAATCAGATCCTTGCTATCGCGAGGAGGCATACATTGAACATAAGACTAAAACCAAACCGTGATTTGTTTCCAATATGGTATATCAGAACACCAAAGCAAGCGCTATTGTTTTTGTATATCCGTGAGGATACGCATTCGAATCTAATTTCTTATCATGTGATATACGTAAAAACTAACAGACTTGCTGAAGCTTGAGGGTATCACATTGAAGAATTAATATCTAGGGCACATTTGATTTTATGATAATGTTCTAGAATGTCAACCCATACCCAGAACTATATGAAGAAAAAATACTCCCTCCCAACCAATACCCTATGTACCGTCTACCCATACTTCCAAAACAACTCCATAATCAGGGGGAAAATGGAGCATTGTGATATTAATCAGATTTTGACATTTTATGTTAAATATCCCCCCCCCCTCCCATTTACCTGTGGTTACTGTCAGTTTTCAACGGTCGCCTGGTAACTTTTTCAGCGTTAAACATAAACGTTTTAACATTTCATCATTTAGTAATGGCTTTAGATATGAATCTAAAATGTTAAAACAAACGTCTGAACTGTTGAAGAAGTTGTACATTTAGAATTTTGCTAAAATCTTACGTGGGTTGGTAAAAGTATTCCATATGACATCGTTTACGGAAAATTTTGTTCTTTTTCATTGATCGTTACTGTAAAATGCTTGGTCAACAATGATAAATCCTAAAGGGAGTAAAAAAAATCGAGTCGTGTAGGTGATTTTTCACGTTTATATTGATGGAGGTTTTTTCTATGTTAAGGATTGAGTTATTGCTAAAATGATCAATTTATGTAGATTTTAAACCCTAAGGTGAAGCTTTCTATAAAACACTTCCCAATGATCAATCCCTTTTAATGCCGACAAAGAAATATGTACAACTCTTCAAAATCTGCCTGTTAATGACTAAAGAAATATGCTTAAGAATCTTTCTGGGTGTTTTTTTTTTATGTAACCGAAAGAAATGTATTTTGAAGATTTAAAACAATTTATTACAAATTGATTGTTGAGAATATAAAACAGAGTACACTGTATGTACTTTTTGTAAAAACAAACTACAGATCGACGAGAAATGTCATTATCAACTTAAATGTTCATTCTTGTCCAAAGAAAAGTTAAAGTAGTAAAGGACCTTAATAGAGAGGTTTAGCCACTTCACGAGTACGGTATGTGTAAGCTACATATACACGTAAGGTTGATACACCTCTGAAATATCTCAAACTTTCGAAACAAGAAAGATAGAAAAGGCTCTAGGGCCTTGCATCGCTCACCCTGCTGTTTGAGAAGTATCAATATCAACTTTATTTATTTTACAACAATTATGAAACAAGTGATTTCAACTTTTAATGTTAGCGCATGGGGGGGGGGGGGGGGGGGGGGGTCTTAGTGTGGGAGGAAACCGGAGTGCCCGGAGAAAACCCACGTGGTCGGGCAAGGTGACCCCCAACCTTTTCACGTCCGATCAGGGAATCGAATCCCCGGCCGCCTTGGTGAAAGGCAAGTGCGCTATCCACTGCACCACCCGACCACCCAAGTGGAAGAAGTAAAGCTGTAATTAATCAGTTGTTTGAATTGTTTGAAGGACATGTCGTTCAAGTCAAATTGGTCAAACGGACTCCCTCTAACCCGCCCCTCTGGCCCCGGGAAGTTCATTCAGGTATTTGTATAAAGTATGATCCTATTGAGATAAAATAAAAAATAAAAAAGTCTACCAACTCAATTGGGTAGAAATCTGCTTACTAATTTAGGTGAAGATGACGTTGAAATCAAGTCAGCGATTTTGTTTCGTTTTGTTTTTGCATTGTTTCAAGGCCCATCGACAATGCGAGTCATTTAGGGCCAAACAACACGTTAAAATAGGCAATCACAAAAATGATTACATCAAACTAGAAATAAAAGAGTTTAAAAGGTTTAACAAATTATCGACTGGGAACGAATTGGTTATAAATCATATTAGAACAGAATTAAACCAAACCAAACCTTATTGTTCTGCATGTGATCAGCCATTAACAGTCAAACCTTTTATGATTGAATGCGCTGATTTCAAACAAAAAGTGATCGATTATGTTATGTATCGTGTATGAAAAGTTTAATTGATACAGTATCAATTAAACTTTTCATACACGATACATAACATAATCGATCACTTTTTGTTTGAAATCAGCGCATTCAATCATAAAAGGTTTGACTGTTAATGGCTGATCACATGCAGAACAATAAGGTTTGGTTTGGTTTAATTTTGTTTAACGTCCTATGAACAGCTAATGTCATTTAAGGACTTGCCTCCATGCGTGTTTTATGCGTGCGTGCGTGTGTGTATGCCGGAAGGAGACATGGTATGTTGGTGTGCTTGCCTCCTTGTGATAGCGCGGATCTGATGCTGACTTTATAGTGCTATCTCAATGAAATACCAGGCCGAAGGCACCCAGCACAGCATTCCTCTCGGTCACATCATACTGTTGTTGCCATACATTCCCTTAATTCTGAACATTAAGCAGGGATTAACAACTACCATTTATAAGGACTTTGGTATGTCCTGGCCCTCAAACAGCATTGATAACATTATATTCAATATTATTAGATAACACTTTTTGTGTATATTTGTTCTAATAATTTTATTCCAATAAATATTTTTATGTTTTACATACTTACAAAAAAAACGATGTTTACGTACATGTAATTTGTGAAGAGATCTATATAACACAAACTATCCAGTCATTAGGGTAGGGCGATATGGTAGTTTGTTTATCCGACTAAGCCTTATTTCCTGTGGGAAAAACCTTAGAGGAATATGACTTCCGAGGGTAAACAAATCATCATATCGTTTACCACCATAACGAGAATTCTTTAATATTACACATGGAAATTCAATTACATACAAACACGTAATCAATTTCATAGTTTAATAACAAGGAACAAAAAGCTCAATGTAATTAATATTAATAAACAACTACAAAATGATCTTAAGGTTTTGGCAGGTGGTTGTCTGAATTAGTGTTAATATTGTTGATATGATTTAGGCCTGAAGCAAGTCCGAATATACATTGTATAAAACATATAATTTTCTTTTGTTTTGCCAAACAATAACACAAACACACTTCGCATTTTGATTAAAGTCCGTGATGCAGCCGCGTAGTCAGAACAACTAGATTACAAAAGAACTCCGCCGAAACACGCGTGGTCAGAACAACTAGATTACAAAAGAACTCCGCCGAAACACGCGGAGTCAGAACAACTAGATTACAAAAGAACTCCGCCGAAACACGCGTAGTCAGAACAACTAGATTACAAAAGAACTCCGCCGAAACACGCGGAGTCAGAACAACTAGATTACAAAAGAACTCCGCCGAAACACGCGTAGTCAGAACAACTAGATTACAAAAGAAATGCAACTCGATCAGAACTTTAACGCATTTATATACACGATTTCAGATTACCACCATTTTTTTTACTGAAAAGTCAATTTCTCCGTAGATACTAATAAATGAGGAATTAAAGTCAACTCACAACGGAACATACTAACGCACTCATGCGTATACTAGAATATATCTATTTCACAAACCAAAACCAATCGGAGTAATTGCTCTTTTGAGTATCACGCTACGTACATCTACACCAACAAATGTATTAAAAAGGATTGCATTTTGTATATATCGAAGTACACCCTATGTCAAAATAAACCCACAACCATTATTTTATGTATTAGTCGAGCCAATACCAGAAAACAAACATTCATGTATATTTTTGCATCTAAAGATATAGAGCAAACATATATATTCTTCACAAAAAATACCAGATGGATGCTTCTCCAAATAGCAACAATATAATATACATCGAGCTTGACGAAAAAAACTCGAATATTCCAAACATAGGCGAGGAGTTAATTGCTTTACGGCCCAGAAAAGTAAAGTCGCATCAGGCTTGATAACAATAATAACGGACACTTTAATGAACAGGTATTTTTATTCATTATAGCAAATGTTTCCTACCAGTTTCACATAGATATTTGAAAATCTCTGACAAATAAACTATATGGAACAATACTTGTCTAGAATCTGTATCAAATAGACGACGTGGATAAGTACAGAATCAAAGTTAATTTTATAAAGAGGCACTTCTAACAGGTTTTTGAAAATGTCATATATTGTACAGTGATATTGACGCTGACTCCCTTCTCCGACTTTGACAATGAGATTAACAACTCAACAACGGAGCATGGTATATACTGATCAATCTTTGTCAACAGCAGGTGCGCAGAGTCAATGACTAAGCGTGTAATGATTCTATTTTACATTAAAGACCACCATATGAGTTTTTGCCATGGGTATAGCCAAAGTATGGCGTTCATGAATGCCAAGTGGTAACCCGTCTCTCTAGCATGAATGTGGTCTTCTCTCGAGGCGTGGCAAACGTACAATACTTGTAAGGTATTTCGTCTACTCCCGGAGGCAGTTTGAATCGATATGTCATAAACATCTGTAAAGTAAAGTTAATCATCAACAATATTGTCTGACCACCACAAAAAAACAGTTGTTAACTAAAATGTCTGGTTCATAAATCCATATATGTATTAAGTCCACATTATAATTAAGGATGCACCAATAGCAATATCGGAAAAGATACCTGCTGTAACCCGATGCATGATTAAAATAGGGCCACTAATATTGGGAACCCTTCGAATAATCGATATTTTTATTTTGTGCCTTCTAAAAAGGGATACAAAAGTAACTAACGTAAAAGTACTGCACGTATAACAAGATTTGGGATCTTCTTATTTTATATCTTTCTAACTACGTTTTCTTGTTCGTTTGAGCAATGGTGCTGTTTAGAGCGTTCGCGAAGGCAGGGATATATATGGGTTCTAATGGAGTTTTTGGTGTTATCGGTCATTTGTGGCTTCATAAAAAGTAAAATATTCATCTTAAATGTATTTACAAATTTCTATTATAAACATCATATTGGTTAATTAAGGGCTTAATTAAGGGTTTCTGTCTCTCTTTGTAATGCCATATCTCCTAAACCAGTTGTTGAATGAATTTGAATTATTCATTCATTCAAGGTTACGAGTATAACTAATTCTAAATCCCCGATGAGTCCGGAAATGACCCTAAACGCCCTTTGTCCTTTGTGTGTCTTTTTACATCAACATAGGTGCAACTTCCTTATGTTTTTGTAAAAATGACGAATTTATTACTTCATTTGCCTATAACGATGTTATCAATTATCTATCAGAACCGAGAGCGACACAGAAAATTTAGCCTATGTAGCCTCAATAGCATCATAGGCAAAACAAGTAACAACATATACAAAATTCACGCAGCTATTCAAATCTTAACTTTTTGTTCGCTAACAACAAATATCAACTCGCCTTGGCAGTACAGATGTAGATTTCCAGCTCAGCAACTCTCTGGCCGATACATTTACGGGGCCCGAATCCAAACGGTAGATGGGCAAATGGGTTCACATCCGTCCTGATATCCCCACGAATCCATCGCTCCGGGAGGAACTGATCCTGTTGTGGAAAGTAGCGCTCTTCCCGACAGATAATCCCGTTACAGAGGACTAGTGTGGTCTGAAACGAAGTATAATTCATGGTTATACCAATTTGTAACAAGGTGCTTTCTCGAATATATCAAATGGTACTTCTCATTTTATTTATTCAATGTTATGTCATTGGCGTTTTGGTGTTATTTTGCTCGTTGTATACATCATTTGGAGTTTCAATACAAAGGCAATTTTTTGAAACTAAATCAAATAGAAAACTTATTTACCTAACGATAGCAACTATTTCGTCATAAGTGTTTCACTATGATTAGTATAGTGTTTTAGTCTGTTATACTCTGTAGGTCGTCAATTTATTATCAACGATACATTCTGATACAGTTGTTATACCTGATATAAATAAACATTATATAATCCGTTATAAGCAGAGAACCATATAACTACTAAGGAAAGGTAAGTTAATTAATGTCCTCATGTTTGTAATATTATTGGTAGGCAATAGACAACTGCTGTCCTACTGCAGGTAAAAGTCAGTTTCGTTGTGAATTGGCTATTTTTGTCACTCTGCAATCCCATGCGACCTTTTCTGGATGATAATTGACAGATGATACTAATCCTCGTCTTAAAGGAAAGTCATCAGAAAATCGAAAAGGCATTTTAATAGTTACATACAACAGCTTATACTTCATATCAATCCGTTTCACAATTGGGTCCTTAGTCATGTCAGAATTTGTGAAAACAAACTGGTCAACAAAGTTACAGAAGCAGCACTCCATCCGCAACCAAAGAATACCTTACTCCGATTTAAAACCTGGTGTTACCAGTTTCATCAAACGTTACCTGCAATGAAGATGGCTGGTTATATCAATACGCTTCTTGAAAAACACCCCATTCTGGGTTCAAAAATCCCAATCAGTGAAAATCGTTGAGTGGTTTGGCTTGGTTTGGTTTGGTTTGGTATTGTTTAGAAAGAAGAGAAAGGATAAGATCCCAAATTTAGTCGCCTCATACGATCATGCAATGGGGGCAGCAGGTACAATTCTTACGCCCTACCTGCAGGGACCCGTTGAGAGTAGGTCGTCCTCTCACGACTTCTCATACAAATAAGATATATATGTAACTGCTTCGACAAGATATTGAGCTTCACCATTTTAGACAAGTAAGAAACAAATATTAAAAGATTTTCGAATATCTACGTGAAATTATCTACACCATAAAATCATAATAATAGAATAACATGTTATTATGATACCTCACGATTTTGCTGTGTAATTTTGTAAGCATGTTTTTGCCTTTTAACATTCAGTTTAGTGTTTAAATGTGCATTCTTAAGATATGACTTTACCGTTCTTGGGCTGTTACGAAACTGACTAAAGACAAAGAAAATGTCACTGTTACAGTCTTTTTTTCGCGGAAACTGTTCACGTTTTCTGCGAAAATAAAATATATCCTGAAAATTACTCCATACTTACCCTTCCGATTCATTGCATTGCAATAACACCAGAAATTAAAGGGAAAAGATCAAGAGAGAGGTAACCTACCCCTTTAGGCACCTTGTAGCCCTTAAGAACGATGTCCAGATCAAGTATTCGCGCTGTTCCTGCGCAGATTGGAAATACCAGTCTGTCGAAATAAATAGAATTGATATTTTTACCTGTAAATCAAGCCTTCTCAGTTCAAATGAATGCGATGTATTTAGATGAATACGCTGTTTTTCATGTTATAATAAAATGTTCTTTCCAGAAAACAGTGCTGACTTTGTACACCTTTTACTGAAAGGTTTTGAAATAGAAAGTCAGTTTCTAGAGGGAAACTTATTTTTGGTACATACAGAAAATGACATACAATTTATACCATCTCGAGAGCGATGTAATTATATATTAGCGTATCAAATCGCGTCATGTGGTACAAAGAATTCTTTACAATTTAATTCCAAAAGATGAAAGGAATATTTGAGGAAAGGAATATATAACAAAATGCATGGGAATAATAAAGTGTCCCACAAAACCATCATCATAACACAAACGTATTCCGGTGAGTGAGTTTGATTTCTGATAACGGTTGCTGATCAGGGTGCGCGATGTATTGAATTGCAAAACGGTCAGTGGTAGAATGATTGCCGGTTTGGCAGGTAATGCGGGTTTTTTACGGAGACCCCTATTCGTTACCAAGCAAGGACATTCTAAAATGTCGGCGTTTCCTGAGATACGACAACCGTAAGAGATTGCTAGTTCTCCAAACCGGAAAAAAAGAAAAAATAGTGTCAGTTGAAAGCTTTTTGACCTGCATTGTCAGCTTCAAGGGTATTTGCATACAACACCCATTTTTTATCAACAGTAGTCATCACCTACCTTTTGGTCCCTTACATCACTGAAGGGTCCCATAAAGACGATCAGGTGTATGATGCAGTGTAACTCAGTTTGACATACTGTATCTTTTACTAAATTTTAAAGGTGCAATAAAACCTCTGTGTATTACGATCATCTTTCAAGATACAAGGCAGTCGACTCTGCTGGTGGAGTTTTTATTCTCCGATGTTTGTCATTACCTTGCAGGCCACGGTTGACTCTTTTGAGTAGCGTTATTGTTTACAACATGCACGCTTTACTAATTAATTTGAAATTCTCCAGTTTCGTATCTATTACTAAATTATAAAGGTGTAATCAACTATGTGTGTTGTGTTCATCTATTATGAACAGGAAATTTCGCAATAGGAAAATAAAGATGGTCCCGCTTATCGTACAGCTTAGTAGTAAGCCGTGCCTGTTGATCATGTTGCACGTAAATATCGAGGAAACTGGCTGAAGAACATTTTACACATATAAGTAAATTCCACACCTTAGCGACTCCTTGACGCACGCTTTGAGGTATGAAAGTTTCTTAATAACGTCCTCGGTTATCTTTCCGTCCTTAGGAATCACGTCAAGTAACTCCTGATAAAGCTTACGTTGTTTGTCTTGATGTTTGGCCAGGAAGTAAAATAGAAACGTCATCGCATTGGCAGTCTACGTGGAAGTAACAAAAGGAAAAGGCGTGATGAGTATTATCCCAAATGCATTGCAAATTAAAAGTATATTTTGTTATTGTTACCGTATTACTCTTGAACCAACCTAAGTTATTAGCAATCGATATCGTCAGAATTAGTTATAGAGGGAAAAGGCAATAATGAATAAATCTTACTTTATAGCCACCGTAATTAAGTTCTGGTAAAATCTAACGACAACTATATTTAAAACCGAATTAAAGTGCTGAAGTGACGCAACATCTAGTAAAATGATATATAAAAGTGAAACATACGGAATCGATACCAGCAACAAACACGTCTACTAGTATCCGCCTGGTCATGTCGGGGGTCATACCGGGAGTAGACAACAAGTCGAACAATAGACTGTCCTCCATGTCAGTAGTGTTGACGTTAGTTGGGTGTTGGGTGTTCTGTACGTCGGCGTCGAACGATTGCTTAGTGTTCCATGACTGGATTTCAGGGTTCTGTACTGTTGCATCATGGAAGTTCGTAGTATTGTTAACTTTGGTCAGGGCGTCATCGATGTAGTTTTCACATACCCTGTAAAATACAAGCAAATGCTGGACGTTAACAAAGAAAAAACAGTTAAAAGCACCAAAACATAATTTTTGTAATTCTGATAAGGGTTTAGTTTGTGTTATTTTGTTGAACGTCCTGTTAAGGAAATTTCAGGACGTGCTTCCATGCATGTGTGTAATGTATGCGTGTACGTGTGCTATAAGCGGTATGGGGGCGTATTTGCCTCCTTTGGGATTTGCATTTGTGCCCTTTACCAGAGGACACAACAACGACCAAAAGAAATTCTGCTGCACCCATTGCAACATTTGGAATGATTCTATTTTCTCTCTACATATCTTTACAACCTTTTGATTACTAACGCTTTGCTTGGCAATGCCTCAATTTTGGATTTAGTGTTGATTAGATAAATCATTTAAGGACGTGTCTCCATGTGTGATGCGTAAGCATGCATGCGTGTATGTGTGCCGGAGGCAGGGAACGTTAGTGTATTTGCCTCCTTTTGATAGCGCGGATCAGATGGCGACCTTATAGTGCTTTATAGACAATCGTTTACCCGTAGTCAGCATGATTTGACGATATTTCTGCAAGGTAACACTCTAACTCAGCATCTAACCTGGGATCTCATCAGGGGGCAATTCTACCAACAAACCACCTCAATCAGACATACACATTTACTATTCATAAACACAACACATTAGGTTTTATACCTATTTCTATTCATTTTCAAAGATGCAGTCCATTTTTATTAGACTCATTGACATTATTGCTTAAGTTAAATGTATATTATTTATACTTGTATGTCTTGTATTAAAGTCTTAACATTAATAAAATTAAACAAACTGAGATAGAAAGTCTGCAGCACGCTCAAATCGTCGGTACATTGGAGTCCGGAATACAGTGTACAGAGGAAGCCGATACGTTGATTCCCCAAACAACTCAAGGTATGTTTTAGTCTGTTCCATCAATTCCGAAGAGTTGTTAGTTTCCGTGATACAGCCAAGTCGGGTGTTGAAACAAAGCATACCCACACCTATAAAGGGGAGTATACGGTCAGTGTATGCATAACACGTCATACACAGGAACATGGGTTGAACACCAAATCATGTGCCTAATAAGGGCATGCATACAACGTTGGGAACATGACCAAGTTACGCATACAATACCATGAACAGGATAAGGACATGGACACAACATCTCGAACATAATTAAGGCATGAACATAACGTCGTTACACAGACCGCCGTGTAAATAACATGTACACAATGAAGACGCAACATCAACGTCGAATAACGGGCCAAGAAACGACATAAACGTCGTGAATATGTTGAGGGCATGCCTGCAAGTCACAAAGAGAATCGGGGAACGTCGGTAACTTCACGAATAGAACCTGGGAACGCCTTAAAAATAGTGTACATGGTCAAGACAAGCATGGCATTGTGTACGCAAAGTTCAATCAGTGTAACACAATAAGAAAAAAAATCACACCAATGCACATTCATGAACATTTTTTTAAACAAGGAAAATGAGGTAGTGTCTAAAGACATAAACGTGATCAATTACAAATAATTAACTTCTCCACTTTATTTGAGAGGAACATTAACTTTCAAATGCATATGTCAGCTTACCCTCGGCAGTGTACTCCATTAGCTGATCAGGCAGGTTATCCAATCGGTCCCTGCGTTCAAACTTTGCAACAAATTCATCAGCAATTTGGCTGATGCGGTAGGCGTATTTAGTCATGGCCTTTGGTCTCATCATCGCCTTTTGTGTTGGGCTTCGCAGGGCATACCACTCATCGCCCTTCCTTTAATAAATGATAAAAGTATCTACGAAACCATGGGAAGTGTACCACCAAAGGGTTAGTAATTACCCCCTTAATTTTCCCACATATTTCAATATGGTTCGGTTTTATAGAGTTTAACGTTCTATAAACAGCTAATGGCATGCAAGGACGTGCCTCAACGTGAATAACGTAAGAGTGCATGTATATATGTATGCTGGAGGCAAGGTATATTGGAGTATTTGCCTCCTTGCAATTGCGCAGGTCTGATTCTAAGGGCTACCTCATTGAAATACCACGGCGAGGCCATCAGCATTGTCCCTCCCACAACCCCCGGTCTAATTATACTGATAACGAGTACCAGTTACTGAAATCACCCTAAAATTTTAACGTCAAGCAACCATTTTTGAGGTTTAAGGTATTCCCGCCTCTGGACAGAACCATTTATCTCCATTTATTTTGGCGAACATTCAACATTAACACTTCAGCCAAGAGTGAGGTATTGTCAAGTAGGGTGCTTAACAATCTTCTAAACTGGTTGAATTAACTTCAAGGAAACGGAGAGTTTTAACAGAAATCATCAACATTTTGCCTTGTACAAGCAAGAATGTCTCAAGTTTCGATCATCGGACCATTAATGCTTTTAATTTAAATCAATGGTATTGTACATTGCATTTCCAGTAGAATTAAATTATACGCAGATGACACATCACTATATATCACTAAAATTCATACTGTATTCCGAGAAACTTTCGAGAGTCTTTATTCGCCCAGTGTTAAATTCGCCCTACACCACAAACAGTGGAAATTCCCCGTTACTAAAAATAGCATCACTACTCGGCACATATGACAATGTAACACAAAAGTATACATATAAGTATGAACACTGTGTGGGTGCGGCGGTGAAAAAAGAAAACGAGGGAACTATAATAATTATAGTTCGGAAGTTTGGGCTAAAAAAGGGCGTTGAAATGGCGAAGACAATGCGGCCAGATAATTCACCAATACATGAGGGTCTCCCGTCAACCAAAACACAATACGCGGAAATGAAAAACATATAGTTGCATTACACACACTGGACCCCAATTGCATCACATACGGTACCTGAGTTAAGCCTCAGTGTAGATGAAATAGTGACAGAACATGTGCCGTCGTATACGTAATTTCTTTTAAACATTCGCCGTCCTGTTAAATTCGCCCTCAGATCGGAGGGCGAAAGTTAAACTGCGGCGAACGTTTCCTGGTACACACTATCGATTTGGCACAGAATCCTTTAAATGATATGAGCAATATTTAGTGATGGGCAAGGAAATGGGATCTAAAAAGTAATCCTTCTAAAACTGAGTCTGTGATTTATTCAGGGAAATTTTATAAAACATCAACAAGTAATAAAGTATCTTTCATGAGGAACCAATTACAGAAAATAAAACACATACATATCTAGCTCAACCTTTCAGTGAAGATGCTGAATGGAATCTTTATATCTCTCACATTTTTTATGGTTATTTAAGGATTAACTTGAATAAATTTTTCATGTTATGGAACACAAAAAGACGGAGTGTACTCTAAATAAACCGCGAAGCGGTTTATGATAAGAGTACACTCAGTTATTTTGTGTTATAGCTCCATAACATGAAAAATATTCAAGTTAATCCTTATAATTTAATCTACTTTACACAATCCCTGTGGAAATCAACTTTTATTGATGGACTCTTTTCTTTTAGAAATTATTGTGCTGCTGTATCAGCCAATCAAAAGCGACGTTACAAAAAGCGACATCATTTTTTTACGTTATGGGCTGATAACATAACGTTTTAAGCCAATGAAACTGCCTGTTACAAGCAAGATTAAATTATTAAAACATAAAGTAGATAGAAAACCTTTTTTATAATAATTTACTTTATTGATATTTAACAATTATTTTCCTTACAGAACTTTTTATGAAAATATTGAAAGTTCGGAGAAAATAAATCAAGCTAGGCATATATATTCCTATGACTTACAGAGTAACAAGTCCCGGTCTGACGCCCTTTCGCCGGTCGTAGGTTTTCGCCAATGGAGTTACTCCCCGGTATGGATGCCTGGACTCTGTTCGGAACACAGCAGCGATGTCGTCAGGGTCATATACACACACCAGCCAATCCTTGCCTGCGCGGATTTTCACTAGGGGGCCGTATTGCTCGCGGTACTTTTCGAAAAGTTCCGACAATTTCTTCACATCGTAATTTGCTGCAAATACATGTTTGATGAATATTTTTTCTTTTAATGAGGAGACTTAAAGATCGCTGGTTATCAAATTATAATCCATACAACACAAAATGGATATCTCTGTCGTACTAAACCTGAGTAGAACTGGATTGAGTGCACAATGGTGTGCAGTATTTAACGCCTAATGTCATTTAAAGTAAAGAGACGTGTTCCCATGTGTGTTGTGTATGCGAGCCGGAGACAGGGTATGTTGGTGTATTTGCCTCCTTCTGATAATGCGAATCGGATGCTTACTTCGTTAATGCAGTCTCACTTCAATACCATTCCGCCCGGTCACATTATACGGACAACAGGTGAACCAGTTGTTGCCATTACCTTAAAAGCTGAACGTAAATTATTGAATAACGACTACCATTTTTAAGAACTCTAAAATTATATTCTTTTTAAGAGCCCAGGGTGGTCGGGTGTGCAGTGGATAGCGCACTTGCCTTTCATCAAGGTGGCCAGGGTTCGATTCCCTGTTCGGACGTGAAAAGGTACGGGGTCATCTGCCCGACCCCGTGGGCTTTCTCCGGGTACTCCGGTTTCCTCCCACACTAAGATCCCCCGCGCACTAACATCCGGGTCAACAACAGTGGTTAATATAAGTTGAAATCACTTGTTTCATAATTGTTGTAAAATAAATCAAGTTTATGTTTAAATATATTACTTGAGACAGAACCCATTGCTTTCCTCGACAGGGCGTACGTTCAATATCGAAGCCAACGTGAGATGCTGCCACGCAAGGCAATGGGAAATAAAACGTAGGTAGAAGTTGTTGCTTTTGTTTCCCAATGGGGAAGGCATAAAAGCATATCCCCAATTCCAACTGCTAATATTGTTCATCTCCAAATTATTTATGACTGATTTATTCGATGTAGGTCGGGCTAATCAATAGCTAAGGATAAAGCATATCGTTAGCCAATAGGAAAATCTGTCGCATGTGATGTCAATATCACGACCCAAATCTTGCGGACTACTCTTGTGCTTTTTAAGTGGGTTTTATGTCGTATTCGTTTGCCTGACATGACGTTAATGTCTTTCGAAGTCCTTTTTTAAACTGCATTGCCTAAATGGCATCAACTGGTTTTTCTGAATTTGTACTCTTAACATATCTACCTGTATGAAACTGGAAGTGGTATTACTTACTAAATGGTTTCAATTCAAACATGAGGCCGATGTATGGCAGGGCGGAGAGTCCCGATGGGCCAGGAATAGCTGCCAATGGTTTTGGTTTCGTCCCATCCGTAACTACAGAAGTATTCCTGGTCCAGCCAAATTGTCGTTGTCGAGGTCGTAACCAGCAGGACAGCCTGTAAACAAAAGAAGGTCAAGCAGTGCGTGTATAACAAATGATGTGAGAGAAATGCCCCAACACTTAACAAGACTTGCAAACGTTCCATCATACTACGGTCGTATTCAGTAGTGTATAGCATACAGTACGACAAGCGTCATATCACTTCACATAAAGAGGAACTAACATAAATAATTATGATTATAACCATACCATTTTTATAAGCAAGTATTCAGTTGAATGAGCAAATAAATCAAAACAAATGAAATCTTATATATTTATGTATTACATATAATGATGTTTGTTCCGCATAGCTAATCTAAATTTTGAACTTCGCTAAATAATATCATTTTGTTTCTACCAATAACCTTTATACATACTGAATTGGGTAGCGCATCTTTATGTGTCACTAGAGTCTGGCCAACAAACCCGCTGCATATACTGCAGTACTTATACAAGTCTGCCCTGTCGTAGCCTGCAACATGGCCACAGAGACCGAGAAGCGTTCTACAAAATTAAATTAATGTGATAAATAGCATAATCAGTCAACGACAGAACGTATTTCTTCACATTATAGTAACTTGTGATCCGTACAGGTCAGATGTGTGAGTGACATTACTCACCTTTTAATATGAATATTCATATTATTTATTCAAGACGAATTGTAGGCTTCAATATGAATTGCCTCACGTTATTTCTTTATTTTGTTTTCACTACGGCCACATAAACACTGTACTATTGGTCACTTTGAATATTCCTTCATTTCCTAATATGATCAGCGGGATAACGCTGTTTTGGAAAAATGGTTACCTCAACAGAGATCAGTTAGAAAAAAAATCTTTGAAGGGTATGGATATTTGTATAGTTCAGCTGCATATATATCTAACAATATTATTCATACAGTGATAACATGGTCTTACAGGTGGTCTGGGTAAGGCCATCAAACAAATCTGTCCTGTAACATGTAAGAGAAGGTAGGTACAAAAAAAGTATATTTTTCATTTATATAAGGTTTATAAATTAAAGTAATCGTGACTTCAACAGTGCTTCTTTTAAATTGTACCAATGAAGGTTTGGGTAGGCACAAAAACCTAGGGTAAGCATTTATTTTTGACCAAAGTGCAAACAAATTTACCGTCAGCAAAACTGAAAAAAGATGGTCTTCGCAAATACGAGATCACAATAATAATGAGCTGATATGCTTACGATTTGGCCAAAATTACGGGACAGATTCCGTTCCGGGATGCTTTCCGAATTTTTCGTTTTCTAAAAAAAAACACCATGCGCTCACATTTAATGCGGATCAACACAAGGCGGTACCGGTTACCCTTGGTGCCAAACATGTCTAGACAGAAAGACCAATTGAAATATGCCGGTCACTCAAAACTACGAAAAACAAACCTGCGGGTCGGGAATTAAGAGGAGAAATCTAATGTTAAGTTTCTGTGCCATTATAACCGTGGAACAGGAGAAAGAAATGCACGACCAGACAAGAATAAGAACCCTGGACCCTCCGAATTCAAGACGGATGCTATACCAATTGAGTTACCTGGTCGCCGACGATCGCCCAAGTCTAGTTCCGTTACACCAATAATAAATGGTGTTCCTGTATGACATTTCTACAACCAATTCCACCTAAAATATTATGGAAGATGTATTATTCGATATCAGGTCATTTTTAATACTAGGTTCGAATGTGTTATATTTTTTCATATTTCAATATTCTATACGATGTATTCCGGATTTGATTGATTTCCGCTCGACATTGTAAGTCATTTTGGGCCATACAGATCGAAAAATGGATGTTCGCAAAAGGAATATACTAAACTGAAAGAGTTTTAAATGTTCAAAAAGATGGAAACCATCAATAGCAAACTATAAGGTTCTAAAAGATGAAACCGTATTAATTAATTGAATGTAAATAATCAGATGGTAATGACACAGAAAAAGTACCAAAAAATCATTCTTGTTACATTATCTTTTTCGCGAATTTGTTTAAAATCGGAGCAGTCAGTCATAAAATTTAACTGTAAATGGCTCATCAATTGCATAACAATTAAAGCTGTTCTTAATTCCGTGAAATAAAAGCCTTTGCTATGTAGGTACGACTTATGCGTAGTCGCGAGAGGACATCTTCCTCTCTGCGGTCTGCCTTTTTTGTTTCACACGAAGCCACACTATTGAGAATAATTTATTAACTTATTCAGTTTATTGTCGTTTTAATGTAATTGGAGCTTTAAAATTGAGTAGGTCAGTTTAATATTTCAAGTTGTAAGCCAAGGGTTGCTTTTTACAATTAGTGCACGACATATAATCATTATACGATATTCAAATACGTTATACAATATATAATTGTCATTAATTTGATATACAATTCAATTATGTTAAATAACATTTGTTCATTATTTTGATATTTAAATACGTACATACGTTTTATTTATTGTTTGATATCTAAATGTTCTTTACGATATATATTCATTAGTTTGATATATAGTTATGTTATGATGAAAAGTTGATTTCAATTTAAATGAGTGAGTAATAGTTGGTAGCTCATTTGGTGTAATCAAAATAACAGACATTCCGCGCGATAACATTTCATTGTATGTGATGACCGCCTTATCAGGGTGTAATTTGTCATACGTGGTAACCTTTACGTCTGATGGTTTCACATGTTTCTGTACCATGGCTGTTTTCGGCCGTTATTTTGGTACAGAAAGATCCAAAAGCAACGGGTTTATTTTATTTCTGCTTTCATATCTTTGAGTACCATGGTACACTTTTACATGGTACACAAATATTTGAATTTTAATATCTTTGTGTACCATGTTATACTGTACCATGGTACAAAAAGATATGAAAATTCATATATTTTTGTCAGACTCTTGTCGGCCATCGTACGTTCGATATATATCAAATTTGCTGTAAAATTTCAACTGCACTCGATAAGGCTGGTAGATAATGGTAATCACAGGACGGGTTCGATAAATTTACATGAACTACATATCATATGCCTGCCTAAATACGGATAGTAAGATAACAGCACACAAACTGGGTTTTGTAATGATTGAAGTTAAAATCAAAATTATAAAATTACTTCGTGTGTTTGTGATTTTTGTAGACACTATGCCTGGTTACTGTTGCCGTGGAGTCTATAAAACACAGGAGAGTTCCCAAACTGCGAGCCGTTGGTGGCATATTATAGCGTTCCGGAATTAAACATCTTTGGGTATTAAATATAACTGTTGAGATAAACTTGTTATGGAATGACAACGATATGATTTTATTATAACAGTTTACGAGTGCGAGTGAAATATGATACGAGTGCATCAAATTACGCAACTTTGCAAGTGTTCTTAAAATAGCCGCATAGAGCAACTTTGAATTAGAATTATCGCTAATGAGTCATGATTACATGATCATGATCATGTTTAAGAGCGAACATACAAACCAATGTGATGTTTATGTTGAAGATATGCAGCCGATTTTGTTCGTATAGGTCCTAGTTTGGTCGTAGCATGTCACGCAGGCCTTCGAAGCGTGGCGCATAGCGTAACCGTATCACACATCGGGCTTGAATGGAATGCTTGTAATCCTCCCGCAGGATATATTCCGGTTAAAAGATTGCGTTTTGTTTAATATTAAAGAAAAAGTTTTCTGTTTAGTCTAGGTTATCTTGTGATAACTACAATGGAACTCGGGTAAATTGAATAATCAGCGAAACTTGTCATTCCATAACAAGTTTATCACATCAGTTACATTTAATACCCAAAGATGTCTCGTTTAATTCAGGAACGTTATAATATGGCACCAACGGCTCGCAATTTTGGAACTCTCCTGTGTTTTTGTAGACTCCACGGCAACAGTAACTAGGCATAGTGTCAACAAAATTCACAAACACAGGAAGTAATTTTATAATTTTGATTTTATCTTAAATCATTACCGATCATAAACGGCTTCGCCGATTATTCAATTTACACGAGTTCCATTGTAGTTATCACCCGATAACCTAAACTTATTAGAAAATTAATCCTTTACTAACGACTGTATAAAATTTAAAATATTTAAATATCAAAATAATGAACACATATATATCATCCTTTACCGAATTTTATAAAAAGTTTAACGTTAAAAAGGAAGTCATTATGGATTATTTTTCTAATACTTTCATTTCGAATGTATTCTATCCGCTTCAACTATTCGAATGAAAGAAACTCCAAATCAGATGAAAACGCCGACGGGGTCCGTATGGGACAAGGGGACAAAAGGGGACAATCAATTTAATTACTTCGAAGGATACATAGTCTACACTTCTATATTTTCCGGGGGAAATACGATGAGCTAGTTGTACGATTCTTTTATAATCTGGACATCTATCAAAACAAGGGAAATGACAAAAATATACAGATATTCTTTTTCCCTTTTGGAGACCCTGTCAAGGCCACAATACTCACACAATTGCAACTAACTCTGTTTTTCATCAGCAGTGATTAATGAACTTCACGACTTGTTTCGACGTTGTAATTAGGGCTTCACTATTCGGGGTCAGTTTTGGTCATAGTGTCCGATAACAACATTCCGATGCTCTGGTGGTACACTTCTTTCATATCTATTTGTACCGTAGGTGGTACAAAAAGAAATGAAACAAGTGTAACGTGGTACTAAAAGGATAGAAGCTTTCATATCTTTTTGTACCGGGCAAAAGTGTACCACGATACAGAAAGATATGAAAAAAGGGTAACGCGTGATTTCATGGTACACTTTTTTCATATCTATTTGTACCGTAGGTGGTACAAAAAGAAATGAAAAAAGTGTAACGCGTTACTAAAAGGAGAGAAGCTTTCATATCTTTTTGTACCGGGCAAAAGTGTACAACGGTACAGAAAGATATGAAAATTCAAATCACTTTATCGGCTGATATATACTGAACAACAAAAGAAACGCATTGTCCGTAAATATATACATCCACTATATAACATCACAGAGCATGAGGCTTACGTACATATCTCACCAAGACATCGCAATTACTCCGTAACATAGGCCAATTCGTTATCACACAGCGACGCATTCACACACAAACACACTGGTAAACAATGAAATTAATCAACATTTGTATAGTAAAACAATACGATATCACGTGATTCGTTTCAGAATGGAGGCGTGGTTGATTATTAGAGCAGCACATACATACATAAAATGTTTCAAAGATGACATTAATCTGTTTTTCAAGTAATTCATTAACATGTATAATAATGAACAATACACTTCTGCATCACGTGATCTTATGAAGAGGCCTGCTTGTTAACTAGAGCAGCATAATTAACACTCTTCCGGGAAAGTAATAATGTATTTCATGCCAAAAAAATACGCGAGTTATCCATACACGTGTTACGTTATCTTCACTTAAAGCTGCAGGATGTGTCGTACACAACATGCAAGTCTTACCTTAGGTAAAGATGTCATCACAGGAGGGGATGTACGATGTGTAGTCTGTCGCAAGCATGTGCTGACAGACGTTCCGAGGGGGAGTGCGGGCAGTCAGAGTACGAAGGGGTCACTAGACTACTTCATTCGGAAGCCAGTTGTGAAACGGAATACGAATCCCAATTACTCAAGTTACACTGGCTAGTTTGGGAGTTTGAGTTTGTTTATCTGCGTTATCTTGTTATCTTCGCCGCAAGTCATGTGATCAGGTACAGCTGCTACCACGTAAAGTAGCATTGAAGTATTCCTTCTATTAAAGTGATTCACACATCTGATTATATATGAATATTTCGAGATGCCTGTTAACTTCACACATTAAAATTTAGAAAGCTAGGAATTGATTAATGAAAGACTAATTACTAGTATATGTAAGAAAATAATATACGACAAAACACATCAGAAGACAGCATTAATGCATGCTTTATTATGCCAACATGTAAACATGGAGAATATACAAAATTAGATCAACTGTGATAAATTCCTGAGTTTGTGTTAGTTAGTTCCTCAATAGCAGACAAAAAAAAGAGCAAATAAAAACAGCACAATTCTACGTGAATTTCTGATTCGTTCTCAACAGATTGACCTCGAATAACAAAACAAAACAAGCAAAATATTTTTAAAAAAATATAATTATTTTTTTGATTCAGTTTTCTTTTTTTTTTTTTTATTTGTGGGCAAACATATTAAGAATTTTCTTTTTTCATTGTGATGATATTTGCTAAAATTCTAAAAGCTAGAGGAAAAACGATAAAAAGAAAAAATACCGGGAAGCATTTGAAAAAGTAAAAGAAAGTAAGATATCAGTTATTCCTAGAGGGTAGCGAACGTCTTCTACTTCATCGATGACTTTACCGACATGGAATTCTAGATCAATCTAAATAATATCACGTTCCCAAGAACCAGGGCAGTCACAACCAAACTCCAAGGCACCCATACGAATTTTCCAATTAACTGATTATTACGAACACAAAGTCGTGTCCTTAGTCCTTATAAACGTATCTTGTTTTTGGAGCTGTTAAAACTTACTTTATTTTTTACATACCAAAAAACCTTATGGTGGGCTAATTGACGAACGAGGAAAAATGGGTACAGGAGTGCATACTCACTTTAACAAGCAAAATCATATTCAGTACAGGCTAAGTTTGTATGATCGTCAAAATAGTTTGGTATATCAGTTTATCGTAAAGCACAGGCATACTGTGTCGTATCCCGATAGAGAATTGAAATATTATAATATTTTTCAAAAGCTCATTTTTATGCTTGTATACTCTGTATTTTAAGTCGCAAATCACAACATCTCCTAACCGAACAGATTTGCTAATATGGTTTTAGTTGTAGTAGGAATCAGTAAAATGTCATAACCGATGTTAGGTTTTAACGAAAATCGAAAAAATATGTGTGATCAATCATATATGATTCAGTATGTGTGGTTTTTTTTGTAATTGAGCACCTTTCTCCTACGTCGACAAATCGAGATACATATATGTGTCGATACACTCCAGACGTACTCTGATCCCTACCTTTCCGTCTAATTTACGTTCACAAACAGATGTGGTACTGATAAAATGACTTAATTACAAGTAAAATAACTAATTGCTTACATTGTTTCACTTTTGACTTAGTTAAATGTACTGAGAAGACATGTTTCCAATCATTTTTTTTTTTATCAAAAATGGCTCAGCCTGAAAGCAGGAAATGATGAAATGTTTTGATTCTTTAGACAGTAAAACGTATCTAAAACTTACTTTTGGTATTGGCCTGCTATTACCCAGCATGTCATTGACGAATAGAGTTTCAGTCAATATGTTCAATGTCAACCATATTCACATCAGAAGAAATATTTCTAATTTAACATATACAATGTGCAAGTTTGTTACCAAGTAATATGTATGAATAGGAATTGGTATGACAATTGTTCTCTTTCCATCATTAACTATTTACAGAGATTTCGCAAAGTTGAAAACGGTTACTGGATGCTTAAAACGTAGTCATTGCTCAGATACATAATCTGGGACACTATCTAGACCGTCAAAAACATCACGACTAATTGTATCGATGACGAGAGGCTAATATAACCAGGTTAACATAACGACGTTTTACGTTTCATAGGTACACTACGTCGATAAAATGTATGTTTCATTAAAATCATACAGATAGTGACCAAATACTCTATTTTCGAACTAAATACTTGTACAGTTATTAAGCATGTTCATGGCATGCAACAAATGCTTGTTCATGTATTTTTTATTTTAATAAAACCATACAGATATTTTCTACATAATCTATTTTTAAACCAAATTGTCTGAATGGAAAACAAAACAAGTGACCTCACACGACAAAGCTTATAAGCATGTTCAATAACTACATAAGTGCATGACCACCAATATTCGTTTCAATGGTAACCTGTACATCAACAACTCTCTGACTTGTCGCAGGTGCTGTAAATATGGAGGAATGGGTTGGCCGTACACGGTATGACATTTCGGGTCGACGAAAACGTTATGGAATGATCTGGAGCTCGGAACAACAGCGACGACAAAAACAAAACGTTCAAGAAACACTTGACAACACACTCTAAAAAAACCACTGAGTCAGCAAGTACTCTTCCTGTTAGGTTTTTATCATTACTGACAATTGTAATAGGTCAGGTCCTAACCGATGTTCATCCGACACGGCTCTGCGTTTCTTTGTTTCAATACAATTATAATCGCAGAGGTACATGATTTGCATAGACAAACCATACACTTTGAAGTCTTGTATAATTTGACGTCTTTTCTCACAACATTCACAATATAAAGCTACACGGAAACAAACTAATGCATGGATTTTTTTTCAGTTTTCACAATTGCCTGTTATGGAAAATATCAGTAAACATCTGTCATACACAATTGAAGGATTAACTGGGTTGCGTTTCCGTTGCCATTAAGGTAAGTCAAACCGCATTTCAGCATTAATGTATTATGCAGTTTGAATTTATAATGTGACCGGGTGGGGTGTCCAGCTGGGTGTCTTGGGCAGTATGCTTCAGTGAGGTAGCACTATAAAGTCGGCATCAGTTCCGCGCAATCACAAGGAGACAAACCCGAACATATCGCAGCCTCCCAAAACACACACGCATACACTGCGCGCATGCATCTTGTACACAGGGGAAGCCGTCCTTAAATGACCATAGCTGTTCATAGGACGGTAAACAATACTAAACGCCCACACTCTTATTTCGTAGATATAGCAGATATTGTGCCGTCTTCGACAATTTTGATTGCAGCTTTTTTATGTTTCTTTAGTTTCAATGTCTACAAAATTCGGATATCAGTGTTCGCAATTTTATCAACGAAATTTGTGAACTGATTCAACTGAAATCAAAGGAAAATGTGTGATACCCCTAAATATTAATAAACAAAAAAATACAGCATTGGTTTATACATGAGCAAATAGTGTTAATCACGTTCTTTGAAATTATAAATGAATTAATTAGAATTATATATTTAATGTTGTAGAGTGTCTTGCCGAATCAAACGACCTCGGTTATATTTTAAAATATTTTAGAATGTTCTGAATGCTGTGTTACAACATGTATATAGACTCGTTTCTGTTAACAGGTATCTGATTAACATCAGGACAGTGACCAGAAATTGTCTCATTATTTAGAACGATTCAGAACCTCCAGATAAACGTCGAACCACAATGACTCACCTCATCTATTTTTGCTTCATTGAAAAATGAAATATTTAAGCCGGTTAACTATCTAGACCGTGACAAGAACATCACGATTTCCTAGTATAACTACCGTGTCTACTGCATACACACACGCAAGCACGCATACACTACACACATGTCCTTAAATTACCTTAGCTGTTAATAGGACGTTAAACAAAATAAAACCATACCAATCCTAGTATAACTAAACTATGCCGATGAAATGTATATTCAATTTTTCATTTTTTATATAAACATGAATATAATTGTTCACATCCCCAATTTTAACATGCATTCCGGATGAAACACAAATGACAATACCCGAGAACAACGGTATACGTGTACCGGTTTTACACGTGCAGAAAACAAACATGTTTTTCCACAACTACTTGCATACAACAATACTTTAACATTATTGTAATCAAGTCGATGAATAAGAAATGATCTGTTAAATGTATTAATATTGTTGGCATTACCCATCGACCAGGGAGGGCAGCAGTATCACCTGGTCGGGAATAAAAAAGCGACATGCTGAAATAATTGAATAATATCAGAAAAAACTCATAAGTATACATGCATTTTCAACTTCAAGTGACACATTATGAAAAACAGAAGTGTTGCAATTTATGATGTACCAGTTTCCGTATTACCTTTACAGAGATCCATTTATAATTTATACAATATCGACCTATTTGATTTTTATAGAATTTGTTTACATAACATCCGCCTTCTCGCTACGATTAAGTATGTTTTTAAGTCTAAATATTCTCTAAACGTCGTGGATTAAGACAAAATTATAACTAATGTTATCCTCTGCTTGATTCTTAAGTGACGACTAATGCGACAACCCTCTGCAGAATTGGGAATTTGCGGCTTTTGTGCCGTCTTTCTGGAGACAAAAAAA